CAAGCTATCGCAGCTTTTAATATATTATATATTTTTAGTGTTATTCCGTCATTCAGTTATATGACTAATTGTATAATGATAACATGATTATGTAATATATAAATTTTAAGATGTCTTTTAAAAGTAAGTCTGCAATAAAGTCCATAATAAAAACGAGAGTAGGAGAAACTGCAAGTTTCCTCCCGTACGTTTGCCCCCTTTTTTTCGCATTAAAAAGTTTTGTATATAGTAAGGGCATTAAAGCAAACTTTTGCAGTCAACATATAACATCAGTAGATTAAGCTCTCGCAAATGTAGGCATCATAAGCACGACAGTAATGAAATGTCAGAGCCACCTCTTGGAAGAACCTCGCTGTAGATCCTATCTGCTAAACGAGTTGGTCTCAAAGTGTGTAAAGTTCCTTGTCCATCGCTTAATTAGCTTTTAACCGGCCTTTGGTCTGGTAAGATAGTCGTTGGTCGTCGTGATGTCGTTTTAGGTTAGGACTACATCTGTTATGAGCCCTTACAGTGACAATCAGGATGCATATGGAAAATATAACAGTAGAGAACGTAACATTCGCAATTAAATCACTTAGAAATCTTTGTTTTACAAATGAGTCACGAACAGAATGGTTTAATATAATGTTAAATCGATGCTATATTAAAGAAGCTAAGCTCTGTAAGTGACATCGCTCAAGGTACAAACTTAACTAATTTTATGGTGAAATAAGTTGAAACCCGTGACTTTAAAATCAAGTGTTTAAAGAACCCATATACATTGCTTATCTTACATCGGTCAGTTAAATCTCTCAAACTCATATTTTTATACGTTATCCTTCAGCACAAAATATTCTTACTTTATTATAAAAACTAAATGAGCTAGCTTATCATCAAGCAGAAATTCCAATATGAATTTTTCAAAATACACAATTATTTAACACTCAGAATAGTAATTACGATAAGTTTTGAGGTGATATTGTAATTAATAAATATTAGCAAGTTATTTATTTAATATTTGTTAACATGAAAATTGAAATGAATATATAATATTTTACACAATCATGGTAACATATTTAATACATGTAATAAAATTATAAATCTTAATACATTTGAATAAATATAACAACGAATATTCGGACGAGAATTAACGCCTGAGGTTTCAAAAATCTTTTTGAATAATTTTCTTTTTGACTAAAAGTTGTTAAATACTTGAGTTGGTTTTATCCATTTGTATCACATAGATTAATGCGAGAGATTACCACCATAGTTTTAACTGTACTGCCCATCTCTTGGCTAAACTGTTACCAGCTTGCTCAACGGTAACGACAATTAGAGATTCTAGGACATCAAGCCCTGCTCTAGCCTCTTAACAGCAACGGCCGAAGAAACTGAACAATCTGAGAATTGCATCAAATTACTGCAATAAATCACTGATAATTGAAATACGTGTCCAGTGGTTTCTTGTAGATGTAATTAAATGAAAAACGTCGCCATATTTACTTGTTAGTGACAAACTGGTATACTCCTTTTATGAATGAATAAATGAAATGAGATATATGTTAATAAGCCCACTTTGTTATAAGGTGGTAACGCAACTGCAACCATACGGGGGTTGAAAATGTCAGTGAGCGGTGGTTATCACTTAACATCAGGTGAACACTAGGTTGCTTGTCACTTTCTCACATAAAAACATCAGTTTATAATATGTACCGTCTTATTCAATAGTAAACAGTTATTGATTAACCATCCTTAACTTAAAATGTGTAGATAAATGGTCGAAAAATATTTACGCTGCCACTATCCAATCTGCGCCTTCTGATTAACACCCAACCGCTCTAGCCACTAAGCTAAGTGGTGGATATTCTCGATACTTCTCTTATTTGTTCGTAAAGTAGAACATCCTGTGGTAGGGCCACGCAGCAGTCTTCACTGTTGCACGAATGGGCAGTTCCGTGCGCGGAGGTGCCACCACCTCATAGAAGGATGGCGTGAAGTGGAAGTCATCATCCGTGTTTCTTCTGGTGAGTGAGGTATCCGGGGCCCACTTTATTAAAAGTTGACAACGCATCTGCAACCACACGTAGATGAAAATATTCGTGGGTGGCACTTAACAACAGGTGAACCGCCAACACCCTTGTCACCTTCTAACATAAAAAAACCGACGCTCGTGATTTGGAGTTGGGATTATCGCCACGTGCCCGCCGCCGGACTAATCCGAGGACTGGCGGCGAACGCGTCATCGATTGCAGCCGCGGACAGAGTCAGGGCCGTTTAAAAATTTAGCGTCGAATCCGCTGCGGCGGAGGTGAAACGCCTTTAAAATATACGCCTTGGCGCGGAGCCGCCGTCGGCGCGGGAAACTGCACACTTGCCGCCCTGTCCATTGCAATTATCAATGAAAATAGGCCGCCGGTGCAGACCGCACTCAGCCACAGCATTGTGGACCTTATGCCAAAGGAATAGGGGCGGCTCGGGGCGAATTATGACGTTGCCCACCGACCGGGGGCAAAGAAACCCGTGTTTCGCTCGGGCTCATTTCAGTTGCCACGCGAAAGCCTCCCTGAATAATTTATATACGGAGCTGAGTGATTGAATGACTCCGTAATTACCTTCTACGAGTATGGCGTTATTATTTTCTATACAGTTTTGCGAATCGTAACTCGGGTTTAACATTTATTTTGCTGAAATATTATTTATTATTACCTTTATGATGACTGGTTGTTTGTTTTTCGTTATTATTAACTTGCATTTGTATTTTGTTTACTGTTTAATCGAAAGTAGATACTCATAACGTGCTTTTATCTTTAAAGTTAAAGGTGATAAAGTATGACCTGTTTCTGTTATACCTTATCCATAATCCTGCTGTTTCTGTGTTAAGTGCCCACTATATTATAAATAAAGTTTGAAATCCAAAAAATTACAAGAAACACTAAAGCGCCATAAAGAGCGGGCAAGCAATAAATAGTGCTTAGCGAGGCGAAAAACAAATAGCAACAAGAACTACGTAGGGTTATTGCTCTGGGCTGGTGAAAAAAACATTATTCACCTTTTCCAGGCAAGCCTTTTAATCTCAATTAGGCATTACAATGATATATTTAAGAGGGCGCGCGGCTCCCGAACAAGCGTTCTTGTTCTTTTTTACTATCATAATGAGAATTTACGGGGCCGCCGGGTATGTTTTGGGAAACGTGGTGCCGTGCGGAGATCGCTGCCAGCCAATCCGCACGGATGTTCGTATACATCGGATATTACTGACCGATTAATATATATCTTCTTCTTCTTCTTCAGCGTGTGTTCGCCCACCGTTAGGCATACGCCTCTCCAATTTTATTCCATTTGGCACGACTCTTTGTTTCCCTTGTCCAGACTGGGCCTGCTGTCTCCCTTATATCATCGGACCATCGGGCTGGTAGTCTGCCCACACTTCTCCTGCCTAGCCGGGGTCTTCACTCCAGAACGCGCTTGCTCCAACGTTCCTCTTTTCTTCGGCACATGTGTCCGGCCCAAGCCTACTTTAACTTCGCTACTCGGTGGCCCACGTCGAACACTTTCGTGCGACGTCTGATGAGCTCGTTCCGGACTTGGTCCTGTAACGTTATGCCGAGCATGCTCCATGTTGCGCTGCGTCACCTTGAGCTTGTGGATCAACCCAGCAGTCAGTGTCCATGTCTCGCATCCATATGTCACAGCCGATTAATATATATAGCAGGTGTGAAAGCAGTCTTGGTCTAGTTGTCGGATTTCATACTAGAGTTCTAATGGTAAGCGGTAAAATTTAGGACCTAAACGGGGACGGGCTCTGTCCTGGCACAATTAAATAAGTTCGAAGACAATTTAATAGCAGTCAATTGCTACCTAGAAAGACTTGTGAGCTACTTTATACATGTACACTTATCTTTCCAGCATCAAACACCGCGAATAGAATGCATAGAATCTGTACATTATTCCAAGCAGAACCCAGCCAATATAAAAGATAGGCAGTTAAATCAGTTGGGTTTCGAACTTGGGAACTTCGTTCCACTTATCAACCGATGTGAGAGTCTGCCAATGTCACAATATCTACGCCTCTTCGTGCAACTCCGTCTAAAATTCATTTCACCTTAGCACCGTTTCATTCGACCCAATTCGTGGTGACATTGAATTCCCGGACCAAAGGCAGCTCCTTGCGGTACACCGACCTGACACGTCTCACCTACATTACGCAGATTAATAAACATTTCACTCTTATTCGGGTGCGAACTATTGCGAAGTGACCTTGGTGGTCTTATAATGAAAATCGCAAGTAAATACGCCCATTACGTATTCCGCCGCATCGGCTATTAGCAAACCTCTCGCGATATTAAGTATCAAATGCATGATTTTGAACGCGTTGCTGTATTATTTAGCCATTAAAGTCAATCAGGCTCGAGTAAGATTTATGTGAGATCTTTTATTTAAGTTTAATGTTATCGGACGCCCAAAAATTTACACGGATTTGATTCAAATCAATTTTTTCGTTTTTTATTTAGTTCGCAAAGGAAAATATTATATTATAAAATAAGATATTTTTAATAAGATAATATTTGTATGTTTTGTAAAATTTTTTTAACCATAATTATGTGTAATGGAATACGATTGATATAATTTAAAGATGTACTATTAACAATATGTTCTGTAAGCTTGAGTATAAGGAAAATTTTAAGAATTTCTTATTACTTTAAAATATGTTTATGTATTTTATACATGAAGTGGCAAACAAGAAAAGAGCTCACCGTACAATTGCACCTGTAGACTACGCTACACGCCATCATTGTGTTTGAAAAGCGTTCAATGTTTTTTTATGGTAGAAATATGCTCAGCTCCAGAAGATCCGTATATATTTGGACAGGTACTCAACTCTCATTAGATTCAGTCTAAAGGAATTAGATCTCTAGCTTCTGAATCTGAGATTGGGCGAATTGAGTATATTATGTCGATGACAAAAATAATACACTTCAGAAACTTTACGCATCACGGCGCTGGCTAATTTCCGAGATTCACCGCATCTCATCGCCGGCCACGTGCCCAACGGTCAACAAAACATCTCGCCGATCGTGACCTGCTCCAAAACGACCCTCGTATTCCGGCATTGAAATGGATTTGCCACGCGTTGGCAGCCCGCCGGGCATATTTTGAATGGTGATTTTTATTAGGGCCAGCGGAGTCACATCCAGAACGAGTTCTAAGGCCAGCTGCCAGTCGACGAAAGGATAAAAGCGACGCTTTATCTCCAAAGCACGAACATATATATACAGTTCTTCTTCTGTTGGCATGATTATGATCTTGTGGTGTGACATAAGCTATCCCTTCACAAAATTGAAGTTTTCGACCTTCGATTTTCCTACTATAACATGTACAATAACATTATTGATCTATCACGTTTGTTCTAATAAGTAATTTACTTCATGTCTTTTAGACAGTACGCTTATAAAATGATGGCACCGATCTCACCGACATATTTTGAAAGTAACTCTAAGAATTTGAACAAACAAAACTAATTACCCAACGAGGTTCTTTTTCTTTCTCGTGTTGTATTCCTTAACCCACCTAGATGGGTTCCTCCTAGTCAGGAGATGTGGGTATAAACTAGGCCATTTTACAACCGGTCGTTTGCCTAAAATCAACCTACCTTGGAACAAACACCATCATGCTCTCATCGAACAAGTGTTCACTGTAACACTGTCAGACATTCTATGACCCTATGACCTTTCCATTCGCAGTGTTGCCAAGCCAGACGTTGATCACGACGGCACAGTTGTGTATATCGACGAATACGGCTCGCCGACGTATTGGCTTGCGGGTATATCGATATTTCACATTTAAATTTCAAAGTTCAAAGCAAAGCTTAGTTTTTATGCATCGCTCTAACCGAGCTTACGGTGGTCGGCCGGCTTACGTGACCGGACTGCGTGACGTTTCCGCACAGAGTAGTGCGGCCAACAGCATTTCACTGGATAATAATTATTATTTATAGTTAAAACCACTTGCAAGCATGTACTATATTGCGAACAATTAATGGCTATCAAAATATCCTGCTAAAACGAATGGTTTAGTATAATTATGATTCTGAAATGAACATTTGTCAATTTTTGCCTCGCTCAACCGTCTGTGGAACCAGCTGACGCTGGCGGTCTTTCCGAACCGTTACGACCTGGGAACCTTCAAGAAGAAAGCATACTTATTCTTAAAAGGCCGACAACCCATTTGTGAGCCCTCCGGTGTTGCAGGTGTTCATGGGCGGCGGTAATCACTTCCCATCAGGAGAAACTCCTGCTCGTTTGCCCCTTCTCTCCATTAAAAAAAAACATGGCGAACGTAGGGATTGGTTGCTTTGCTGTGTCTCATCATATGTGTATGTGGACGTGAGTTCAGATGAATTTGTAGATTTCATTACCTTCACACGAAACATTCAGGTACATTTAATTACACCCTTGTAAGCAATTGTCTGTGACTCAGCAACCTTCTCTCTTTCATCGTTGTCAAATACTTGTACTCTAAGAGTGAAAACTCCCCCTCGTTTTTGCTTCCTTGAATTAGACACTATTATGTCATAGATTTAGTCAACGCCAATTGTCCTATTTAGATTTGGTTTCACGTCCTTCAGTTCTTTATTGCAATTCTTAGTTGACTAAACACTCATAATGGGGATTTTAAATAATACGTCTAAAATAAAACACGTTTCCATAATTAAAAGATATAAACATTGAACGTCATTACATTCATTTTTCAGTGATCGCATTCATGTTAAAAACAGTTTTTAATGTTGATGATAAACATACGAGTAAATATACGGGTACGACTTGGAAACGATCTTCATCCGTACACTTTTTACCATTCATTTATTCCTTAATATTATAATAAACCTTAACAGTCTTACAAAGTCTTCTCTTGGTACAGAAAATTAACTTGCTCTTACAAAAACCCCGAGAATTTCTCGTAAAAGCGTATACATTAACTACATACAGTCCTACGACGTCGGGTAACCAATGGTACAAACGTTGATTCATCTTTATATTTTTATTGTAAATGTTTGACTGTAAATGTCACTACTCTCATTTAGCTTGACTTATGACGTTCACACGTACACATAATGGCATCTAATCGATGCTAGCAGAAGCTGACTATTCAATGATCGTTAATACTCGCTTCTTTCTCTCCATTCTCGTTTTTGATACAAACTAGTTGATTTCTACCGCATCAAAAGTATTTATCCAGGATATAAGCATCAATCGTTTCAAATTACATCCAAACAGGTAAACAACACATGAATCCATAATTTTATTAATACCATTATAGTTTCCGTACCAGAATCACTCGGATTTAATACTCACACACCATTTCGTTTTTGGAAATGAAGTGTGGCAATATGCCGAGCTACGCACGGTTAAACCACGTCCGTTCTTCTATACAGCCGTAGATAGTCTGTGCCCAAGGCACCCATATCGACTACAAATTGCGCGGGTACGTACGTACTCGAGCGGCGAACGAAAATAATATTGTTTCTTCGGCAAATATTTGCTCTTCCCTTATTTTGTGTGTTCCTTTTGCGATACGTAAACAATGCCGTCTACGAAATTTGAATTAGACTCGTTCTGAGATATTGGCGAAAATGTTGCGCGGGAAAGGAAGGGTTTTGTTTCGAAGTTGACATTTACTGGCTTAAGCACAGACATTTTTGTGTTGCGAAGTCATAATCATCGTCAAGACATTACATGGATTTGTTGGTTTTCTACCGAAAGGGAAAACATGGATTTTGATTTGAGCGAGTGTAAGTAATGCAATATTTATTTATTCATTAGGTCTGCCAGTAGATGTTACATTTAAAACAAAATTACATGAAACATGAATTAATGTTACAACTTAATGTTCATCTAATTAAGAGGCAAACACAGGATACTTAAAAATTAAAACAAAAAAATTTATTAAAGTTAAACGAAAAGTATGAACAAAATATCGTTAGACTCACTTATTACTAAATAAATTAAGATTAAAAAAATCAAACTGTAATTTTATAATATTGTAATTTTTTTAATATACCTAACATACATATCTATCTTCCACACCTATTTATTAATGGAGTCGTTTTTCTAGATACTCCAACATATACATGGGTTAAGGGTTTAATTTCCTCAACTTAGCCTCAGATTACATATATTGGCCTAAGGCGTCTTATTCATAAGCAACATTTCTGTTTACTATCGCTTCATAAATGTCGTTCTCATTATTATTCATGATCAGTGTCTCATTATTTTTCTTTAACACGTCGAAAACAAGTGAATAAAATTTAAATCTATTATTTTTATAACTTTTTGTTACACCGGCTGTGTAAACAACTAAACGCCACTAACGAATGAAAACATCAAATGGAAAATTTTATCTGTTTTAATCGTTTCTTTTGTATCGTTGTCAAATATGATTCCATTCAATGTAAATTCGTACATGTCTTAAAAGCGATACGATCACTTCGCGATAAGAACGTTCAAGTTCATTGCTTATTCTGTTGATGACATGCTCATTGCTGATTTAAGGCTGCACGATATGATCTGACATTAAGCTTTCATTAAATAAACTAAAATTATTTTAATTGACATTTTTAGTTCATTTAATTTAAGGCTCTACTGAAAAACTGTGTTCAATATAATGCCAATGCATGGTGGTTATTGCTTAACATCAGGGGAAAATCCTGCTTACTTGCCACAGTCTCACATAAAAAAAATATGTGATCAATATAATACATATCGATTTACACTTTTTCTTAACGTTTTCACTAAAGTGAAAATGTCGCTGGCCATACAGCTCATAGAACCTATAACTAATGGTGATGAAACATTTTCTACTACCAATGTAGTTTCGTATAGACTATCGCTGTGTAGGACGACCCTCCACCAGATGTAGTGACGACCTGTCCAAATGCGCGAGAGGTCGATGGCTGGAGATGGTTTAGGTCCGTGCTTCATGTCAGTTTATCGGGCAGGGATATCTCCAGCAGGGGAATTAAACAGGCTGAAAATGAAAAGCCACCATCATCATCACCATCATTTCAATCTTCTTGATAGTGATGGGCTCACAACTTGTAACGTGGGTCCAAATTAATTATAAACAACTTTATTAACCACTTGAAACTAACGATCAGTGTTCGTAATTTATTTAATAATCATTGCCGTTAACATAATTACTTTTTTTTTCTTTTTTTTGATGACTCCGTGGCGCAGTTGCCAAGGTATTGGCTTCGGCGTCGGGGGTCGTGGGTTCGATCCCCACGCGGGACAACTATTTGTGTGACCCACAGATAGTTGTTCCGCATCTGGGTGTTTGTCCGCATATAATTTATGTTTGTAAAAACGTCCTTACAACACAGGATAATGTTATCCTAAATTAAGGACAATTTTTTTTTAAATAAGATAAAAAGATAAAAAAGATAAAGATAAATTACATAGTACATCCTTTGCTTATTTTTATCATGTAAGTAAGTTTATTAAGTTTTATTCAATTCGTCCAGGGAAGTACCGCGGCCCCATATAAAACAGGTAATTTGAAAATAACATTGCGTCTCGTCTGGTCAGTGATATTACTACCTACTACTATATTTATTTCCTTAATTTAATCGGATCCAAAATGGATGCAAACAGCGCAATCCAGAGAAAACTGGCTCAATTTGGAGCAGAGGGATTCTTACACAATAAACTTTAATATAATATTAACGTATCTAAAAATATTTTTATAAAATCTAATTATTAAAATAACAAACTACCTCTCTTGATACTAACAACTATTCAAACTAACATTTTCTGGAAGAAATTAAAGGCTTTATATTTTATTTTATTTATATTTCATTTTGGAAACGCGTCTGTAGTCCAATTACTGGTGTTTGGTGTCAATGGGTGGCATTAATTAATATCAGATGAACCCACCTATATAAAAATCCTTTAGCTGACCCGTAAACTGAGACGGACTTGAGACCCCATGTACATTATCAAATAACAATAATATAAATATTATAGAATATGGTATGTCCATTGTTGATTTTATGCCTTAAAACAAACCTACATAACATTAATTTATAATATTCTTAACTTTTTGTTTAAACATTGCCCTTACTTTGGGATAACATTATCCGGTGTTGTAAGGATGTTTTTACAAACATACATTTCACGCGGACAAACACCCAGATGAGCAACAACTATCTGTGGGTCACACAAATAGTTGTCCCGTGTGGGAATCGAACCCACGACCCCCGACGCCGAAGCCGATACCTTGGCGACTGCGCCACGGAGTCATCGAAAACTTATACTCGTAT